ACAATGGAAAAAGCAAGAACCAATTCGCCAACCTTCTCAAACGATTCCACGATCTGACAGTCGTCGTGACATTCGTCAACGACCGCCCTCTACGCTTCCGAGTAAGTTTTTTAAATGTTAACATTTCTTTCTAAGGAAGGTCCAATGATATACAGATGCCTGTTAACGTAAATGCTCTAACCGTCGGCGGACCGAAAACTGCTCGATACGATAGCCTTTCAGGCCCTCGGATTGACTGGAGCAAGGGTAGCTCCGCTGCCTCAAACAACCCGAATAGGCATGTTGTTTTACATCACTTACTCTTCATAGACAGGGAAAGAATCGCTTTCACGGCATCGACGTGTTTAATTCCGAGATTAACAGTGAATCAGAAAGCGGGAAAGAGTCAAGAGCCCCAAGTAGTTCTACGAAGAGGCGTGTACCACTTTCTAAAAATCAAGCCGTCAAGGTTGACGAGAAGATGTCTGCCGACGACGCCATTACAGAAGCCTGTGACGCATTTAGAGGGTCTGATTCTCCATCTGTAAGTTCTTGTGTCAATATTTCGAATATTGTAGTATGACCTGCCTCTCCGTGAGCCAGAAAAAGCCAAGTTTGTTTCCAAAATTCTACAAAAAAATATAGACAGAAAGGACAATGACCGAAAAATGGCAACGGATATACTCTCACACGTTTACAAGAAAAAACAACTTACAACGGAACAAATTTCTGTCGGGCAAGTTCGCGTTTAGTGTTAGATATTGATTTTACTTTTCTGGTGCTGTTTATTCTCGGTGCTCTGGGTTCTCGGACATGTCCTAGTTAATACCTTCTGATAGTGCTTGGCGACATATAAACTGTTAGTTAACGCGTTTGTATTTTAAGAATACTTAGGGTCCTTTCGCTTGCGTTTTTACCCTTAATAAACTTGACTTGACCTATGGAAATTAACGTACATGCTATTGTTCAGTCTGTGTTCAGTTACTTTATCCCTAATCGTTTTTGATAGGATCCAATTTTTACATTGACGATGCCACGTCGAATTGCTCAAGGTATCAAGACATTGAAGTGTATAACCGCTAGTCAGGCGTATGTGAAGTGTCTAGAACACAGCGAAGGGTAGCTTTCCCGACCGGTTCGCCAGAATTGCCGATGATAACGGGCCTTTCCGAGTAGTGAACTACTCCGCCATCCTAGAACAAAATTCCTTATGTGCAAAATTTTTGTGCTGTTCCGATTACTCAGAAGCGCGTTTAAGGTATATCGTCTCGGTAACAAAAGCGTGATTCTGTTCAGATTTTAAAATCATTTTAACTACCCAAAGGCCAGGGCCAAAATCGAGCAGTTGTGAAGTTTGTGCCAGTGTCAGAATGCCTATGCCTATTACAAGGAGCAGGTTTCACCGCGTGTAGTCCTGCTTTTTATGAGCACACAAAGCACACTTTAAAAGGAGTTTCGTGTTGCGACTTAGGTCGCACATGGCTGCGAAATTTTCAAGCAACGGTTTCCGAAACGTAGTAGTACTTAAAAACATTGATTTTAAATATTAGGAAAGGTCCTAGTTTCATCGCCTATTTCCATTGGTTCATGTGCAAATTATAATTAAGATGGACCGAAGAGTGAAATTAAGTACAATTATGGACTCGGCTTGGGGTCCTAATCTTCCATGTGTCAGGCCGTTGTGTGGCCTAGTTCAGATTAGCAGCATATTCTCCCATGGAACTCTGCAATCAGTATGCAACAGACGTGCATGCATAAAATTTCCAAAGTCAGTGACTCACTTGTGTTATATCCGACACCACTACGCTAATTATTAGAAATATGCTGCGTCTTTCGGTAGCAGCCGTGTCTCTCGTTCCCGGGCAATTGGGTCCACCGTTAAACCATCTAAATTGCGTACTCTATAGAAATGTTTTTCGTGAATTATGTCGAATGTTATGCATAACGTAAGCAAACAAATGCGGTTTCTTATTTAGGATAGCCCGTCATCTGCCTTCAATATTAGGTTTTAAACGAAAAGTATTCACCTAAATGGATGCGATAACTTACTCTACGAATAAATTGTTTGTGTTCTGTTTTTTTCTTATCTGGGCGTTGATATCTTATAAACTCAATCAATTTTTGTGATGATGAGAATTGATGGCAAAACAGCGGGATTTATTGGATCCATGATATTTTGGGACAGTTCTTCAGCTGCGTCCATTGCAATGCATTAGAGGGGTAACCAATGAGAAAGATACAAAATTGAATTGGTACAGAAAGGTGAGAAAGGTCATAAGACCCTATGAACTTTCTGTACCAATTCAATGGGAAACTTTGCTTTGGATGAGGATTGACAGGTGATGTTTAAAACTGGGCGACTGCGCCTGCAGATCAATTGCGACAACTGGTGACCCCGTCAAAACTGATTTTTTTACGAGTTGTTGCTTTTTGAATGCAGTCTTTTTGGCTTGGCTTATATCTAGAGTATTTTGCTAGTCTGTCTTCAATCTGGACATCCGATCGTGGCAAACTGCATCTTTAACGTTGTTGCAAACGATCTACAAACCTTGTCACCCTGTTTGAATTAAAGAACTACAAGCCATGCGTATTCATCTGAACAGGACTAGTATAATTCTTAGTGTGTTGTGTTGTCGAAGGAGTTTACATATTGATCGGCTAATAAAACCACAATGATCTGGTATTGAGATGTATGCTGTGTACCTTCTACGCATCTGACATCGCGTAACCAGCTATAGGAACCAATCTTTCATATAAGTTGCTCTTCCCTGTTGTGACAGTGATTTCTGGTTTTCTTGCTCCCTTTAACCAGTTGACTGTTTTGACTTCATACCCTGCCCTACAGTCTGCCAGACGGGCGTTTGAATCCACAGGGATATTTGTAATACTGCTTTATTTTGTCCCCAATTGGCGGACACAAAATATTTCCTTGAGGAAACCGATATCACTTGTAAGTCTTGACACATTTTAATGGCTGTGTCAAACGCGCTAGCAACGCACAGTGCTTTTCCGTGTGTCTGCGAAAATTTTGCATTAGTTACGGCGCTGGCATTCCCGCCAAGACTCCTGCAAACTGGATCGTCTCCGTAAACCGACTTCATCTTCGCGGGTTGTATCCAACATCCTAGTTATCTTACCCCAAAAATCTGATGAAGAATGGTTTAGAATTAAATCAAAGGCGACTTGATAAAGTGCATCTAGCTTACCTATACCCGAACTACCACCTATATTAATTCACAATCATTCGAATGATAAGACTGATGTTCGTCTTTCTTGTCCACAGGTTCTCCGAATTACTTGATGCTTGCGACGAGGACTTCGTAATGGACTGCCCAAAAGCAGACACCTATATAGCAGAATTCCTCACAGCTTTATTAAACGAATCTTCCAAGGACGTCAATATAATTGTTGCCATTCTGTCGGAATTGCCAGACGATCGGAAATGTGAAATATTGGCAACCTGCCTTAGTTTGGCGTCAAAACAGCTTGGAGAAGGAACAATTTCCACATTGTTTTCACATTCTCAAGTCCCCTGGCCGGATTTTTCGCCAACACGTTTTGGCAGCATTGCCTTTTTGCAGAATGCCAAGTGTTCCGCTGGAACTGAAGCTCGTACCCAAGAGTCCAAAGGAGACGTCCCACTTAAAAAAATCGAAGACGTTATAAAGAATCGTGATTTCGAGGACCTGCGGACTATTTTTGAGGAATTGGCGTCCTCATCGAATACCGAAGATCTGTGGCAAGTTGTCAAAAGCACCATGGATAGCCTTAAAAGTGAGTTTATGGTATGCGAGACCTATGTCATAGTTTATAGTCCAAAGTTAAGTTTATATGCGCACTTTTGAATAATTCTCCCATCAACACTGTAACATTTAGATTAGGTTTAAAGTCCTTTCATGGTTAGTAACCTAGGTTAGCGTTATCTAGGTTGATCTTTCCGCGCCACGCTCTAACGCGATATATTTGCATTTTGTTCATGTCAGCAGCCGACGTACCAGTACGATTATGATTTAACCACGATTCCTCGCTAAATCTGATTCATCATTCGTGAAAAACTTGGACGAAGGAATTTTGGCCGTTTCTTGAACAAAATGTACTGTTTATTCGGTGAATTTTCGAAGCCTGGAGCCCCGCTTCGTCTTCAGACATAAAGAAAAAGTGAATGGGCCAAAAATTCTAACAACATTCCGTGTACTGTCCGTCCTTACGACAGTCCACGCGGTATATACAGTGGATCGACACGGAGCGATGTGGGAAATGCACACCCTTAAATTTCGAACATGAGGCGTGGGGGAAACTCAAGGTTGGGGTTCACGCCACGATAACCGATTCCGTCTTTCGTCTTCAGTATGTCTCGAGATCTGGCCCAGGTATGTGAAGGAGGAAAATACTGCTGCAGGAGTTTGCTACCACTAAACTAATTCGCTAGCGGTCACTGCTCCTGCGCCCACCCTGCCGTGGACATTGGTCTCGATTATTATAGAATTTCCGCATAATATTTTAACTGAAGCCGTAAGACCAGCAGGGAGATGGGCCCGTACCATGAAGTTCCCAACGAATTAGTTACAAGTGCAAATCAAGCTGAGCGCCGGGTGAGTTTTTTTCATGAATGAAGTAACTAGAGCTGACATTGCTGTTTTATTTGACGTTAACTAGTAGTCTTCGGGGCAAGCCTTGGTTTGAGTGCATTATTTCTTAGGATATATAGTGGAGCCCCTGGTGACAAGCAGCATCATATACGAGCATTTAATGTAGCGAGCAAGCCACTTGCCCGACAAGCTCCCGCTTGGTTAACGATGTGTCAGCGCGTGTTCATGCGTCCGCTATTGAGTCTCGCCACCCAGGGTGCCCCCGGTCACCTGAAGCCAGTCAATGGACTGATGTAGTATGATTGGTTACGTTTCGCAAGACGAGCGTTTCGGGTGACGAGCTCAGTTTCGGAACCGGATTAAGCTGGTTAACCGACCGTCGTTTCATTTATTATGTACGATTTTAAACAGTCAATTGCCTATTTCCACCCCGTCTTACAGGAGCGGTCAGGCGTCTAGATTTAATGCTGACACCCCCTGGGGATAATTTGATAGTCACGTTAGGTGCCATATTGTAGCCAATTTTCCACCTTCAGATGCAGGTCGTCAGGATATCGAACAATTCGTCCAAATTCTCCAAATTGTCGCTGACCGCTCGGATGATTTTGAGACGACGTTGTTACTAACCTTACAAGACGTTTTTCCAGGTCAGTGGTGCTATGAACTCTTATTTCTGTCTGCAAATTGCAAGCTTTTATCTTTTTTTACACATTTTCAATTCTTTCAGCGTGCATAAATATATGCAGCTCAGAAACTCGTTCTAGAGCAATCGCAGGCAGTCACGTAGTGACTTAAGACATGATTGAGTGGAAACCGGCAAAAGTCAGAAAGACCAGCATGGCCATTTCTGGCTTACTAGCCGTCATTAGCTTGCCATACTAAATCCCAGGGGTGGACTCGAACCATCACCACCGGCTCGTCGCTTTGTCTGTTGCGGTCGGGAACCTGAGGAAATACTTTTGGAAATTATTGAGTGCATGACTTTGACCTAAGGGTCAGAACCGAAATTTATATTAACATTGCGTTGAGGACAATCGACTTCCGTGCAATAACCACCCAAATTCCATTCTCCAAACGAGTACTACTAAAAGTAGTATATATTTGGTATATCAAAGATGTTATAGTGTATTAACCGAATATCTAAAGGCCCACAGAGTGTTGCTGACGTTTATGCCGCTGCTGCGTGATACAGCAAAGATAGTAATGCTAAAATGTGCAGAATGACATTGAAATCCTCTGCCATTTGTGCTGACTAAATATGCGTCTTTTGGTTTTTCAAAAGTTGCTGCGTTTTGGTCTTCGAATGGTTATACCTTAAAGTCTTTCTTTGATCAATGCCATCCTTGCGGCAGTGCTGATCACCCAAAAAATTTTCCAGCTGGATTTAAGTTTTTGTAGCTTAACCTTTACAGGCTTCTTACCTCCTGTCTTAATTGCAATGAATTTAAAATCTACAGACCATAGTTTGACCTATTTTTTAATCCTGAACATCTTGTCTTTATTTAGCCAACGAAACATTTCGTCAATTTCTGCAGTCTCTTCTGCAGTACAAGGTTATTAGTAACGATGGCCTAAATTCCTGCTTCACCAAGTCGCGGCCGGAGTACAAAGAAATTGTCAAGAAAATTCACAGGAAAGGCCGATGATCACCTCTTTATGTTTGACAACTCGATCCGCTCTCAGTCTATGCTGGTAGCCAACGCGCCTGACAAAGATCTTGTTCCCACAATCCGTCGCGCTCGGTTTCGCTCATTTTATTTGATCTTTCAGACTTCCTTGCGTTGTTCACAAGGTTTTTGCTTGACGACTGTAAACCTTCCCGTATCGTGAGTTTTCTATTATTGGGCTGTTTGGCATTGGAGTCCGCCCACTTGTACCCATGCAGGACCCGGCCACATGTAAATTTACAGGCCCACCCCGAACGTGACGATTGCTACTGGTGACCTTGTACACTCCATTATGTATAAATTCGGATTCATTGTTACTTGCACTTTAAACTGTTACTTATCTTTCAGAGCACACTGTATAAAGAGTTGTGATCCTTTGTGGCTTTATCGTATATTTGATCACTGGCGTAATTATGTGCGTTGTTACTATCCAACGGACGTAACAGTAATCGTCGAAGTTTCGCGACGTTGAGTTTGATTTTATCCTTTTCTGGTGCGGACAAATGCCACACCGGTATGGCAATTTCATGTGTACTAGGTTCCTTTTTATGGCAGTCTAACATCGCATAAATAATGACTTTGATACAGCGTATTTTATGCCGTTATGACTCACCCCAGCTTAAGTATGGGCAATTGTTCGAGCCTGACGCACCGTCTCTGTCGTTACCTGGTCCGATGTCATTCGACCTGCGGCCTATTCCTTACCAAGACCAAATTCTTATTATTCTCAGCAAAAAACAGAAAAGTCTGTTAATGCCTTAGATTTGACGGAATTGGGTCGAAGCTAATGCTGCTATTAATTAGCTGTTAGGTACTCCCTTGTGCCCAAAATTTGTACTGTTTTACGTCTGATGAGTGGGTGCCTTTAGTTTAACTCTAATCACACTTCGCCAACTTGACAGGCAATCAGGCATTTGGGGAATGAAATAAACACTTCCTATGACGTCGCCGCATTAGCGGCGGCGATGGTTGCGATGCCTATATAGCAGTACTCTGAGTGCCCAGGTGGAAGAATGCAGACAGACATGCGTACAGCTCACGGTAAGAGCTGTATGATGGATTTTATTTCAATCGGGATAACGGTTTCTGCTGCATCAAGCGTTTATTTTCATGTGAGGTACCAGCAAAATGACGAGCTGCGAGGTTATTTGTCTAGTTGCCGCACCAAACAGCAGAGGGGACACACTCGGTCCGAACTGCATTCGGTGTACCTCATACGTTTTCAGCGTTGATAGCTGCGGTGATTAGGCTAATTTGCAGTGGAATTGGGCTCCTCGACACGTCCCTCGTG